TAGAGACCTGCGCGTGGTGGACGCGGGTGAGGAGGGGGCTGCCCTGGGCGCAGGCGGGAGGAGCAGGGATCGTTGCTGCTCTGCAGGTCACTGAGGGGAAGAACAGAAGCTGGGAACAAAGGTTCCTCGCTCCACTTCCCCGCTGAAGATGCTGATCAATCAGGAGTGATCAATACCCCAAGCCGGGGAGACCCCAGGGGTGCCAGCCCTGCCGCAGGGTTCGGTCTCTCGTGTGCGAGGGAAGGGGAAGCAGCCTCTGCCAGGGCCCGGCTCCCCTAACACGGCCTGTCCCCGTCTCTGCGCCTTTCCTTCCCCAGGGCTCCTGCGGCCACCCGCACATCTCCCAGCCCGAGTCAGTGACCCTGGGGAGCACAGTCACCCTGAGCTGCCGCATTTCGGGGCATTTCCCGGCTGAGCTGAGGGTGACCTGGCTCCGGAAGGGCAAGGGACAGGCTCCAGCCGTGCCCCTGGCGGACTCTGATGACTACGAGATCCAACCGGGCACGGCCGAGCAGGCGCCAGATGGGAAGAGTTTCCAGCAGGAAACAAGACTTAGCTTCACCCCGTCGGTGCAGAGAGACCAGGGCACCCAGTACATCTGCCGCGTGCAGCACGTGGCCCTGGAGCGGCCCGTGGAGAAGAGCAGCGCGGAGCTGCAGGTGACAGGTCGGTCTCAGCTCTGTGACACCCAGCGTGAACGGTGTCCCCTGCCCCGATGGTGCCCCGTGAGCTGCAAGGCTGGTGCATGACTCCTCTGATGGAGCCGCGCTCCTGTCTGCTAGGCCTGGTGGCCACATGGTCCCCGGCCGGCACCGGAGCAGGACAGGCCGAGAGGAGCTGGGGGACGGTCCTGAGCTGGCTGGGACGGCAGAGACAGTGTGACACCCAGCGTGAACGGTGTCCCCTGCCCCGATGGTGCCCCGTGAGCTGCAAGGCTGGTGCATGACTCCTCTGATGGAGCCGCGCTCCTGTCTGCTAGGCCTGGTGGCCACATGGTCCCCGGCCGGCACCGGAGCAGGACAGGCCGAGAGGAGCTGGGGGACGGTCCTGAGCTGGCTGGGACGGCAGAGACAGGCCGAGAGGAGCTGGGGACGGGGCAGAGATCTCCCCTGCTCCCCACGGCTTTGGGTCTGGGGGCGCG